CTTTTCAAAGAGCAAAAGTGGAATTTGAACTGACTTAACCTTTAGAATGAGATAATAAATACTAACACTATTAGTTTAACTGTAACTATAGTGCTCGATTTTATCTAATCGAACTTTATAATTCACTTTTTAGTCACTACCATGAGGGAATGGCAGTTTTATAATCGTTAAAAAAATAGTTTTGTGATTCCACCGTAAGGTTATCCTTCACTTTTATATTCAGGGTCCGATTCAGAAACGCGATGAGATAATAATTACTCCAGCCTAAGATAATACTAGCAGTTCTTTATTAACGTTGTATATATATATTATATAACTATATAATATTCGTGATAATTTTGATGAAATATTGCATTTATGAAACCATAAAGATTTGATTCAAGTTAGATGGTTCATGTCGTAGATCAGTCTAGACTACTTCACATAGTCTGAGATTGGAGTTGTGAGTGGACAACGAATAAAATCATTGAGTTAACGTTATAAAATACTAACTTTATTCCATAAAATTCACTCCGCAGAATAAAACTAGGACTTTAATGACGGAGTGGGTGTACTCCGCAGAACTTTCTAACCTCCGCAGAACTTTCTAACCTCCGCAGAACTTTCTAACCTCCATGATTCATCAAACCTTGATATGTGCGACTCTGAATATCTCAATATCTACAGGATATTATGCTTGTTCAGCAATTAAATTGCTCACGATCAGTCTCAACGTGAATAGTTGATATATGTCATGAAGATGACTGTGCAACCTGTGAGTATAAAACACGGTACCGAGAGATATTGCTTCATTAGGCATTTCTGTAGTTGTTACCATGGAGACACGTGATCTGTAGTTGTTACCATGGACACACGTATGTGGTCACACGTGGAGTTATTAGCCCTCCTCCGACCACCAACAACAACTAAACCACCAACAACTAAACTTCATATAAAGACCTTTTATGAAAGTTGTATGCTCACGAGGAACATGTTGCTCTACTGTTATTTCAATCACGTATTGTAATATTTTTGATATTGGGTAAGAGGGACAAACAAACGCAATCACTAGATTCGGTGAGTGATATTGGTTTTAATATAATCTCCATTTTTTATTCAATATGATCGCTATATTTTGATTGGGCTGTACATTATTTTCAAATGACAATTCAGCAATATTCTGAATACGTCTGATTACTGTGACTTTTGTTTGTTATTTATAGTCTTCCTTCAAGTGAGTTTGAAATTCTACAGTAGATTTTATATGTATCCACACTCTGTAAATTGTAATAAACAGATAATTATCTCCGATGATTTGTTGAAAAAATTTTATTATCCACTCAAGAAATGCAACTGCATTTCTTGTTAATTTCTCCAGTTCAACAATCAAGCTTTTTAGTAATCAGCACAGTGTTTTTAAGATTAGAAAATTTGATTAAAATTTGATCGATCAAAATTCTTTGTTCCGCCCTCTTCAAATTGTTTACCAACAAATTTGAGGTACTATACTCATCTCAAAGTAATATTAGTATTAATACTATGTGAATGTGTCTACCGTGTTCAACTTACGAACCTCAACCTACAAGGAGATCAGACAAAGAACCTCAACCTACAAGGAGATCAGACACAGAACCTCAACCTACAAGAAGATCAGACAAAGAACCTCAACCTACAAGGACACCAGACAAAGAACGTCAACCTACAAGGAGATCAGACAAAGAACCTCAACCTACAAGGAGATCAGACAAAGAACCTCAACCTACAAGGAGATCAGACAAAGAACCTCAACCTACAAGGAGATCAGACACAGAACCTCAACCTACAAGGAGATCAGACACAGAACCTTAACCTACAAGGAGATCAGACAGAGAACGTCAACCTACAAGGAGATCAGACAAAGAACCTCAACCTACAAGGAGATCAGACAAAGAACCTTAACCTACAAGGAAACCAGACAAAGAACCTCAACCTACAAGGAGATCAAATAAAGAATCTCAACCTACAAGGATATCAGACAAAGAATCTCAACCTACAAGGAGATCAAACAAAGAATCTCAACCTACAAGGAGATCAGACAAAGACCCTCAACCAGCATGGAACAGCGTGATATCTTAATTTAATGCGTCCACCATATTGCGGTATTATAATTTTGCTATTGTTTACCATGTTTTAGTGCCATTTTTAATATTTTGTATACTAGTGTAGTGTCTTGGTACAGTGTGGCTTAGAGTTACTGAAGAAGAGACCTTAGGGTCACCTCAAACTATCCCAACCCCGGATAGACCTGCTGTTTAATCATGTGTGTTGCAGGGCAATAATTTTGACCGATTTCTTGTTTTGATCGTTAATTGAATAATTAGGCGCTATAATACGCTTTATAATCTTATACTCAATCGCTCTTTCACTGAAAAGGTTGATAATTGTCTTACTTTGAGTCATAACAACTAGCTGTTGATAAAAAGAGCCCTGCACAAATTTCGTTTTCAAAATAAAAAGAATTTGTAACGACTTATCAGATGCTTTAATATTTCCTAATTCATCACATAATACAGTCCTGTCTAGGACTCAGTTTTAATGTTGAAACCATGTCTCTTTATCAATATGGTCTGTTTGTCAATCCTGATGATGGTTCTCATGCTCCTTTCTAACTTTGGCATGAGACGTGATATTAAGATATTAGAGAAGAAATAACGCTCACAACTCACAAAAGAGAAGAGATAACGCTCACAAAAGTAAAGAAGAGATAACGCTCACAGCTCAGTGCTCACAAAAGCCATATACAAATATCTTCGCCCTTTGTTTGCTCACTGTTTGGAATTGTTCGCATATTCCTTTACTTTTACACACTCTGTTTTAAATAGTTTCCCGATAAGTTCATCTTCTTCCCTGGACCCCGAAATTGATTTGATTTCGGCTTGTTGCATTTTTGAGATAGATTTGATACAAATGAGATACTTTTTGATTCTTTAAATTGACACAAGCTCATACAGGAATCTGTTTTAATGTTGAGACCATCTAGATTCTCCTCGTCACAACTGCTAGTCTGCTTGTTCTTGGCTATGGTATCTCTGCTCATGCTCGTTACTAACTTTGCTATGAAACGTGGAATTACAGAAGGAACTACGCTCACAAGCCATATACAAATTGTAAAAAGGGTGAATAATTCTCCTGGAGCAACAAGAAACGCAAGTTCTTTAAACGAAGGTGCAAAAATTCATAAAGACGATTATGTGCTCCGTAATCATAGACTAAGATTATGGTATGGAGGTAGGTGTATCGATTCTAAAAACGGAAAACAGCTGAGTGTTCAGTTCTGTGATCCAAATATAGAGCAGGCTTTCAGTTTAACGACAGATAACCGTCTGATCTACGAGAAGACTGGAGGATGTGTGAGCTACGAAACTAAAGAAACAGCTGTATTCTTGAATCTTGTTGATTGCTCGCATGTCACAGGATCGTTCTTTACACGGGACGAAAATGGACAGTTTTACCTAAAGCACGTTATGGAAAATAAAGAGCTGTGTATCACACCAATATTCAAAATAAATTCCAATGTTACAAAAATTCCTTGTCTGTATGTACCTATTGGACTGACCGTTTGTGATAAAGAAGCCTCACGAATATTGCCGATGGAGGAAACATTTTTCCAAAACGACAGAAAATTGATGAAGGGAGCTGTTGCAGCTCCAAATAGCTCATGTGACTTCAGATCTTGTGGGCTTAACAAGAGGGAGCCTGTAAACCTTCTCCCACTTCGCCAGATGAACAGATGCACAAAACTTTGGGAATGTGTTACAGTTGCAGTAAAAACAGCAAGAAGGCCACACCTAGTATAGTTCGTCTGGCTCAATCAGTGAGAGACAGTTTGGGGTTCGACATTCCGATTGTTGCATACGACGATGGACCTGATGATTATTCTGAAGAAGTTCTTCAACAAATGGCAGAGTATCCGTTATTGCGTTACATAGTGAGCAGCGACGAAGATTTTGGTATTTCACAAGGAAGAAATCTTGCTATTTTGCAGGTCAAAACAAAATATTTCTTCCTTGCAGATGACGATATCAAATTTAATGAAGACACAAAACTCGACAAATTAGTCGCAATACTGGACACCACTGACGCCGCAGTTGCTTCAGCCACGTACAGTGGGAGTACCAAATTCACTGGGTACTTCCAATTTGGGTATTTTAACTCAAACCATAAGTCAAAACCAAAACTTGGCTTTTACCATCATGCTTGCACTTTTGTCAATCAAACGATTCCAGACCACCCAGATTGTGTGAGATGTGAAATAAGTTCCAACGTGTTTTTGGCTCGAACGAGGGAGATATTGGATATAGGGGGCTGGGATCCTGAGCTCATGACAAGCGAACACAAGGATATATTTATCAGACTCAAAGCAGCTGGAATGAAAGTTGCCCTTTGTGCTGATGTGAGAGTGACACATGCGCGTGCTCTGAATGACCAGAAGGGAGTAGGCTACACTGAAAAGAGAAGGCGTGATAGTGCAAGGTCGCGCTTGCTCGAGGCTAAGAGATGGAACATTAACGGCATATTCGAAAAAACTGCAAAGGGAATGTTAAGTCTAAACATCTCTTCTGGAGAGATAGAGTATGAGGATGTGAAAGCGAGTGGATATTGTTAGGTGTTGGATTTTGGGAATTTCATTGTCAACTTTACCCTGTTCAGACAAATTTAAACTTGATTCTATATTAACCCTTTTACATATCACATTCAGTGATATGTATAAGTTTAATTAATATAGTGATATGTATAAGTTTAATAATCCTAATTATTAAATTGATTAATTAATTAGTGTTTTAAACATGAAGGGTAACCGTCATGATAAACCTGTGACTTATATTACATAGAAGATAAATCTGTTTTTTTAAATATCTGTTTTATTGAACGTTAGTTGAATATGGCGGGGATTAAACTAAAATAAAGGTTTAACTACAGTGCATCCTTAGTCCTTACCTTATCTCATTTCCAGAAATACACCCGTCTTCGTTAGTCCTTACCTTATCTCATTTCCAGAAATACACCCGTCTTCGTTGCTATCAAATTCCTCAACAAACAACTGAGATAGCTGTAAAGCGTTTCTGGGTCTGCTCTCCCGTTGTTGCTCTAGGAACCATCTCATGCTCTCACACACGTGTTTTATCATCGCTGAGGGGGGTTAATTGGGTAATCATTTAATTGATTAATTAATTAATTAATTAGATGAGGGTATAATACATCTAAGAAATTGATATCCGCTTCATAGTGGTTCGTCTGGTTCAGCAGAGTAGTCTGCGATCAAAGTATGTTTTACTACCAAAGAACGACTCAATTGCTTTCCGAAGCTCGTAGTCGCTATATTAGTATAATGAACACAAATGCGCCTTTTGGCGAGACAATAACTGAATAACCGTTCATCAGTTCATGCTTAATATTATAATAGCTCGCATATTTATTATACACCTTCTTCTTTCAGAACCAAAACTAAACGTTTTGTTGGTTAGTCAAGTTACTCTGAACGAATTTCTTTGAAACTCTGCGTTTATCATGGCAATGTGATAGTGTAATTGGGTTATCTTTGTAAATTCTTTCTTCGGAACCGAAACAACGCTGTTTACTGCCTTTTAAGTTTTAAGGTACGAATCGTTTTAGCGACTGAGTTGTTGCATAAACCAATAAATTTATCGTACGTAGCATAAATTCATTGGTTTATGCCATAACTCAGTCGTATAAAATCGGCTGATTTTGCTTTAACGCTGTTTTGGAGCTAAATCACAACTGTGTACTTTACCAGCAGTTATAATTAGCTCGCGAAACTATTCTTGAACAATTGCTATTTGTATACCTTATTACTTTGCTCACCATCAACTCTAATTATTGGTGCAATATCTAATTATGAGCTGTTCCAGCTAGTTTATCAGTTAAATGCAGATCTACTACACTATATTAATTAATTATTGATTAATTATAGTTAGATAATATTAGTACCATATTATACGTAGTTATATATACTAAATTACAAACTTTACACATGGTTGTAAATGTTTTACTGTTAGAAACTCACCTGGCATCTTGAAGGGCATGTATTCTCTGGGATCCTGCAAAAAAACAATTATCATCCGAGATAATACCATTGTAGATAATATATTGATATCATCAACTAATTTGATAAATTAATGTTTCTCAGTGGAAATGATACTGCATTATTATTTTCGAACTGCTAACAAATGTTTGTTGTAAAAAACAGTTTTTGAAAATTTTGAATTCGTTCAAATATAAATGCTTACTGGTTCATTTTCTCTGGATAAAAGCTCTTCGTGTGCAAAAGCTGCCCCGATCGTACAAAGTGCCAAGATTATAATTCTCATTTTCAAACAGTTACTAAGGAGAAGAGATGAAATGAGTATTGTCAGCAAAACGCTACTTAAAAGTTCCAAACCTATAAGCATGCATGGACGGTTATTACATTAAACTGAACACAATTAGTTTACGAGACCACTAACAGCCTAAAATAAATGTTAAACTATTTTATAAAAAAATAAAACCATATTCCAAAACAAATGTTATATAAATTTTAATTCACGAATCAGAAAAACAAAGATAAACGGGTTTCTCCCGGCACGTAAAAAATGCAGACTAAATTTTGTAAGTGAAAAATCAGATAACCAGAATGTTTGCTTGTAATCAGACACTCTCCCGATAAGCTTGTCTGTACCCTCCAGAAAACCACGTCAAGGTCACGTGGGTGCTGAAAGGTCACACGTGGGCGCTGAAAGGTCACACGTGGGCGCTGTAAGGTCACACGTGGGCGCTTGAAGGAGGGCACGTGGGCGCTGCGAGGTCACGTGACGTACCTAGCGTGTGAGCACGGCAGTGACACCCGATAAGAGAATGGTAACTTAATATATGTGAGTCATGTGCCTGACCTGCTATGTCTTTATCAGGGTGTGTTGCACGTAATCTAACAAGATTGTAGGAGAAATATGTTTTCCTGAGGACTTCGAATTCCTATAAACTGAGATTTTTCAATTTTGACATAATTTTATAGCGAGTTGACAGCTGTGGATGACAAAAGAAAATTACCAAAATTACAAAAGATTTTGGGAAATCTTCAGATTTTCAGATACAAATTTTCCATATTCTGTCTTCGGGAGTTTCCGCCGAAATAACGAGCGAAAATTATAGCACCCTCCAGTAAAAACGTTTTGGGTGAAAAGTGGCTAATTTAAAGCATTCTCAAATTATAATCGATGCTCTATCGGCCCAAAGCTGGCACACATAACTAATAAAATTAGTTCAGTCAATCCCACTTTGCACAGTTTACGGTGTGAAGATATTTTTGCCACGGTAGATTCTATTACTATACTGTATGATCCTGTTAATAATAATTATTATTATAATTAATAATATAAAATAATCCCTAAATGATAATTAGAACCCTTCGTTGATCTCCCGTCTTCTTGGATTTCAATAAGCTGTCACAGTGCACGGCGAAATTTCTTGCATGAACTATAACATTATTTGCTTCGAATGTTCGAAGACCCATGATATGATAACTGCTCTGTGATCAGACTGCTATAAATGCTTTCATTTACTAGTCTTTGTTCTGCACGGTTTTATGGCGAATTGATTGGTATCATAAAGCACACCACGTGATACCGTTTACACGTGATTTGCTTTATGTTAGTATATATATATATATAGACTATTGATCTGGGGAACCATACTTGGTTTGAGACCTTTCATTTTGAACGTTTTGATTGGTCAACACTGCAAGCTTAATAATTATAACATGTTGACGGGTCTGAGATTATTAGGTCCCCTGGCCCTAGACCTTCATAAAGGATTTCATTTGACAGTTGACGGCATTATTAAGCGGTGAATATGCACTATGCAGCGAGACTCGTGCAAAATCTTCATTGAAATTTTCATTTCATATATTATGTCGAGTTGGACTCTGAAGCTCGACATAGCTTTGCAAATCGAAATTATGCTAGCGAGAATACGTGTTATTCTGCCGCCGACTAATTTTGACCGCCGCCTAAAAGTAACACATTTCTGAAAGTTCGAGCTTCTCTGAGCGGGACAGTGATTCCAAGCATACAATGTACGGTGGTGATCCAACTCCACAGTCCACATACTCACATACACCATATGTTAAACTTGACATACGTTTTATAAAATATATTCAAACGTCAACTTCAAGCCACTCACTATGCATGAAGCTCATCGTAATTACTAAAATTTGGAGACTCCGCCGTAATCACGCGTTATCCTCTTTATTTAATTACATTTGACATTAGCATTAGGTTTTAAGAGGACCTGTCGAGGGTTTTGCGAGACGTAATTAATATGTAAACATGCCGCTGATTTCATCCATAGCTCACAAAGTCTTTACCAACTGCTTCCCAAGATATAGTACCTGTCGAGCACTTCGCGTCGAGAAATAAATACCTTAATATGAATAATTGCTTAGTCACATGAATAAACTGGATAACGCGTGATTACGGCGAGATTAACGCGAGATTAACGCGTGATGGCGTCTCCAAATTTAAATTCCGTTACTACTCAGTACTCAGTCTTCAACTGGTCGATTTGTTGGCTGATCTACTATAGCGACCATTAAGACATTTTAAAACTTGATAGCTCTACTCTGACGAGCGCTCCGGGTTTATTTCTTGAGAAGCAGTTTAAGATGGTTAAGACTTTATGAGGTATGGAAATAGTTCAGATTTGTTGGGTGCAGATAAAATCAGGGGTATATATTATGTAGCGTGAATTAGCCACAAAGTAATAAGCCTCCAAGTTCAAATTTTACTTTTATCTCTCGAGCGTGCTTATAAATCACTTTACACTTGGTCCCCGAAAGTCGAAACCAATTAAAATCGAGCTATTTTCGGACGCTGATTCCGAATCAACCCCCATGACATATAGGGTTAAAATGCTCCCCTGGCGAGATATCGGCGAAAAACTCTCTCGATCACGTGATATGATCGTATAATTAATTATAAGGATTAAGGAAGTTGGTCTAATTTCTCGTTAAGGTTTCAGCATATGCTTTTGTTAGGGATTGGGTTAGGATTAGTGTTGGGATCAGATTAGAGGGCCAAAGTTTCGAATAGCCGTTCAGGGTCAGTTAGAGAACGGGTTAAAAAAGTCACGTGACAGTGTAGAGTTATTATCATCCTTTATTTCATTCTATATCTCCCTGTCAGGTTCTGTCACCGCGTCTATCGATTATAGACTAAAAGGATTTATATGATTAATCGTTGAGAAGATCGAATCACGATGACAAATACTTTTTTAATTTGCTAAGCGCTTCATTTCACCGCGGTGTTTCAATTCACACTACTTGGCATGATAAAAGAGGCTCTAATAGAGTTATAGACCCACGATTGGCGCAGTGACGTATTCGGTCTTCGACAATCTCTCGACTTCATAGTAATTGGTAAGATGTTAACTATATACTGGTTGGAAAGGCTAGAGTTAGCTGTTAGACAGTGTCGAGTAAGCAAGTAGAAATTTCGTAATTTCACTAATTGCAGCTGTCTTATAATATAGTAAGTATATATATAGTAAGTCGAAGAGTTGATGCAAAGGTCTGATCAGTCAGTTCAGGTTATTGGAACGTGCTGAAGGCCTGTCTTAGTACTTACTTTTACTTTGGTTGATCCTCAATCGAAATCTTTGAGACAGCACGATTGTCGATTGACCGTAGCGTGTAGCACACTGTACATCGCAGATATGAATTTTTATCTCAAGGTCACGTGACCAAAACAGATTTTTGCCCATAACTCTCCAAGGGGCGATTCGAAATCAGCGTCCAAAAATACACCGATTTGGATTACTTTCATACCCTCAGGCAGGGTATTTTCACAAGAATGTATAATAATTGAGGCGATCGATTTAGTGGGAGCAAAATAAGCCCTCTGACACGGACAACTTGCGGGAGGTTTGCAGTTGGTTGGCGGGTTGCCAAAGATTTGACCAAGGTTCGGATGATCCTTGCCATGTAAATTATTTGCTTTCACGAGAAGTTTTGTGTAGTAACCATTGAAGTTTTTCGTGGTTTTTGTTCAGTATCCTACAGGAAAACAGGTTCGACGATTTCGTAATAACACAAAAATGCAAAATAGGCTCTTACAATTTGATGATGATGATGATATTGGTAAATAAAATATCAAGATACAACAAACTCTTTCCTGGCCTGATCTAAAGATATCTCCATTAATTCTATTGCAATATCACTAGACACCCATCCCACCAATCAGATATTTGTATCACGTTGTCATTTCATTTAGTATTCATAACCAGTAAACCACGTGACCTCAATAAACCACTTGATATCTACCATTACCAGTAAACCACGTGACCCCAATAAACCACGTGATATCTACCATTACCAGTAAACCACGTGACCTCAATAAACCACTTGATATCTACCATTACCAGTAAACCACATGACCCCAATAAACCACGTGATATCTACCATTACCAGTAAACCACGTGACCCAATAAACCACGTGATATCTACCACTACCAGTAAACCACGTGACCCCAATAACCCACGTGATATCTACCATTACCAGTAAACCACGTGACCTCAATAAACCGCTTGATATCTACCATTACCAGTAAACCACGTGACCTCAATAAACCACGTGATATCTACCATTACCAGTAAACCACGTGACCCCAATAAACCACGTGATATCTACCATTACCAGTTAACCACGTGACCTCAATAAACCACGTGATATCGACCATTACCAGTTAACCATGTGACCCCAATAAACCACGTGATATCTACCATTACCAGTTAACCATGTGACCCCAATAAACCACGTGATATCTACCATTACCAGTAAACCACATGACCCCAATAAACCACGTGATATCTACTACCAGTAAACCACGTGACCCAAGCTAAGATCTGATTTAATTTCATTAGCAATCAATGTTTCCGTCCGTAACTATTTTTCCTTCCACGCCAGCGCACTGGTCTTCCTCCCTCCATATCCCCGCTGCTCCTTCATTAATCTTTCTCGATCACCTCGACAGTTGTTGAGGTACTAGCAGTGTACTTGTCCACACGTGTACTGGTCTAGTTTATTAGCTTATGTACCGGACACCTTCCTGACTTGCTATTGTGCGAGTTCTGGGGCAGTGTCAGGGGACACTGTCTGGAAATTTCATGATTAACATATGTTCAACATGTGTTCAGCATGCTGGCAGCTTTGTTGTGATTATTGGGGGCCACCACTTTTTTATGATAACATATGTTAGACCCACTCCTCCTCTGTACTGATCCAATATGAGTGCTGTGCGTGGTGTTGCCATGGTGCATTGCCATGGTGTTATTCATTGCCACCAAAGC